CCTTCTCTTTAAGCTATTACAGAAGTCCTTAGATAAGGAGACTTACCTTATCTATATCACTAATCTCGCCTTTTAAGTAAATATAGCTAGAGATATTATCGAACTTATTAAGATATAAGCGGATATTATCCTATATTATTTACTTAACCTATATAAGGGATTAAAGGTATATCTTTATATACCTTTATTACTCGCTATTATTATTATAGAAATACTCTAAGAAAGCTTCCTTAAAGGTATCTTAGTCCTTTCTTAGCTAGGAGTCTTATCTCTTTACCTAAGACTTAGTGACCTTCGCGTAATACTAAGGTAATATACCTATAATATCTTTATCGCTTTTAATATTATATCTAAAATATATATCCTATAGCTTCTCTAGGAACTTAGAGATATCGGTCTTATTAAAGTATAGTGCTTCTAGGGATCCTAGAGCTAGTAATATAGAGAAATAAGGCACTTAAACTATATAAGAATAAGGTAGAGCCTATACTCTATTAGGCGATTCGGCTAAGGACGATAGTGGCTAATACTTATAATCTATATTATCCGTATAATTATTACTACTTAGGGTCGATTCGGATCTTTCTAGTATAGGTTTATAGTAATCTATAAAGGTTAGAATACCCTTAAGGTCTGATAGCTTAGGAGCTATTATACCTTATATACTATACGCTATTACTTACTTATAGAAAAGAGATAGCTTTTCGGCCGAAAAGAAATACTAACTCTGTGCGCTTTACTTTTAATTATATCTCTTTAATAATTCTTCTTTCTCTTCCTTTTTTCTTATTAAGGCCTCTTTCTTTTCTTATAATTTATAATACAGAATTGTTTGTATTAATATTATCTGTGTGGTGGAGTGCTATAGCTATCGGATACCTAGGTACCCCTACTCGGCCACTATATTTAATTAGATAGGCTATATCTTTAGTAGTATCTAAAGCACCGCCGTATCTCTCGCATATTAGTCCGATAGTATTCCTCGTAGGAACTAGGTATATTTAGGAGAATACTATATCTTGGCTAGTCACTTATTTGTCCGTACCGACTGTATGCCGTCGCAATCACTAGTGAATGTAGTCTCCCGCTTAAGGTCTCAGATAGTCTTATAGCCTTTAGGGTCAAACGCGATCCCTACCCTTTAGGTATGTGTTTCTTCGTATGGTGATGTGCCTTAACAAAAGAGCCTTCCCGGGGACGCCAATATGAAATAGGAACGGCTCGATGGCTATCTGGCGATGTAGACTAGACAACACACACACACACACACTGCCTGTCTGGTATAGAGGATGCTAGATGAGGCCGTACTGATGCCCTGTTGCGGCCGTGCGGGATAATCTTAATACTGTATTATGGATAGAAGAAATTGGGTGAATCCTGAATGAATTGGGTAGATGACTTGTCTCCCTCTAAGTGTGTCTGGAGATGTACTATGCACTGCAGACATTAAATCATGCCTGAGGCCACACATAGGCTCATTATGTCACCAATTCTCCCACTACAGTAGTTAGAAAGGGATACTGAGCATCAGTCTTCGCCTAGGTATGCGTTATAACGGCTCGGCTCTGTAAGGGTTTCGAATTAAGATTTAGTGTTGTAAGGTTGTCGAGATCCGGGGTGAAACAAATGCAAGGCAAAATCGGATATCCCGTCGCGCAGCCGGCAATGTCTCAGGGTTTTCTATTCAGGAGTGAAGATCGTAAAAAATTTCGTCGAGGGTTAAGAGGGTGATTATGAATAGTTATTATTAGTTCTCTTTTCCTTTGCAAACAAAAAAAAACCTGGATTTTTTTCGTGATTTTTCTTAATTTTTGAGGGCATTTTCACTTTTCAACTTTTTTTCGATTAGGGGTAGTTCGAGGGGGGTCCGTCGCCCAATTAGGAAATATGAGCTCGTTCCCCTATTCTCACTAGTTGACTAGCCACTACGCATAAATACCGCGTTTCGTGCCAATTACTCGCTATCTGTACCAAATATTATTTCAATTGACTCTCCAGCCTTTATATGTCTATGATTTCCGGTTTGGTATATTATCTACTTATGGTCTGTCTTCCACTAGTATTCCCTACGTGATCTCAAAAACTCATATACTGCTTATTCTGCGATTCTCTTTAAGCTAACGAAAAGTGACAATCCTGAGACCAGTTAACCTAATCCTGACTCGCTAGCCCTAGCTCCCTCGGTAACATTCCCAGAAGAATTAAAGTAGCATTTATTCCTATAAACCGTCCCAGAAAGTTAAAACAGGTCATAACCCAGAGACAAACCAAGCCTAGATATCTATTAACGGTGGCGGCTAGGTATAGAGGGAAGAGCAAAGTGCATCCGGCGGCCGAATTTACTATCCTAGGATACGGACCAGAGTCCATCTTTTTCCCGGTAAGACCTAGCCTAAAAGGAGCAGAAAGGCAGGGATCGATGGCGAGTTATCGCAATAAGGATTGGCTGATTTGTCGCTTTTTCTTAAGCTTCATCCTCTCCGTAGGTTGCAGCGGCTATTGATCCGACTTCTTTGAGTACTTAAAGATTAATTTGGTCACTAAAATCCGGGAGCAGCGATATTTGTTCTATAAATTACACGCATCGTTCGATGTGTAGATATAGAAATGTCCATCGTAGTGGGAGATATATGTGCCCTCCTGCAATATCCTTACTTTAAGTTTCTTATAGTCCTATTTTTGAACATTGTAAGGGAAGCGGCTGAGAAGGCTACGGGCAAAGATTGCTAGCTGCAAGTCAATCGATTCAGTAATCGACAATATTTCTTTAGTTTCTTAAAGATAGCCATTCCTGATATCCGCCACCAGACTATATAGTCCGGCGATAACTTAAATTAAGCTATTGTCCTGATCAAAGAGATTGCTTATTTTAGCCGCACTAAGAATATGAGCGGCTGGGTTCGTCAGAGAATTGGGTAGTCTTTCTCCTCTCTAAAGGCAGCCGAAAAGCTACACACCATTATTAGCACGGAAGCAGCCTTACCACGAAGATTCTGTCTTACAAATTCACTTCTTACGGCATAAAACATGCGTAAGCCTGCCTGTTATCTAAACTGGTCTTTTCCCCGAAGTTCAAGCAGAGCGATCGCTCCTTATGTATATATTAATAAAGTACGAAAGGATTGAGACTGCTCAAACATGATAATCTGTATTGTGTACAAATGTCAGTTTTCTTGTTGCTACCAGGAACGCATCGGATTTTGAAAGTGGCAACTAACTTCATATAATGATAGGCAGATGATAGCCGCAAGGGTTGTATCCTGTACCGCCTGTATTGGATCACTGAGGGCGACCTTAATCTTATTTACTGCTAGGCCGTAGTATCTCCTTGCAGACTGAAGGAGATTAGGTGCAGAATAAATGTTTCCCAGATTTGCTAACCCTATTAACTCGACGCTTGCCTTTAAGGCCCTTTCGCCTGAATATCTATTAGACATAATATCGAGGCTAAGACAATCTTTGGCTAGGTGAGAAATAGCAAGCCCGGCATAATTGCGAAAGAAAAAGCACTTGGCTTCAGATATGCGATCCCCCTTGGTCTCAATTCTTGGTGAGAAGTTTTCAATAGGGAATTGGCCGAGGACTAGCGCGGATTGTTAAATATTCTCGTCACTTTTATCCGAGATAAGACTCTGTTTCTTTGCCCTTTATATTATATTGAGAGTTTCATTTCGGAAGATTGATGATCTTCGATCCGGGTATCCAGGACACGCACGGGTAGCTGTCCAGCACTGTGAACAGACCGGCTGAGCTCGGTCGCATTTGATTTTCCTAGCATGGCATATATCGCAGCCTCTACTGGGCCTACCACTAAAGACTATCTCTCAGTCAGAATAATCTAGAACCAGCCGGATACGACATAGGTAAAATCCCGACCTGTGGCAGACTTTTAAAAAAGCTTCTTAGTGTGCACACTTAATGTACCTTCGTTTATCAGGATAACCGGCACATACAGGTTCAAATATTTAAGGTGGAGAAATATTATATAAATACCAGAATGCGCTAAACCGCTTCCGGGTTTCCTCGCGACGCTAGTGAAATAGTGGCCTATGATTGGCTCTATGGTGCACTGTGCACGAGTACATCAGAAATGCCTTTTCTTCGGATAAGGATAAGCATAGCCTGACCTCGAGAAATAAATAGCTGGGTTTTGCATTATTCTGCTAATAGTGGATCGTTTATAGTTATTATAAGATCTATAATAATGAACCAATCTCATTTGACCCTGCAACTGTGTTTGAATATAAACTCTGGGTCGTAACACAGTGGCTTATTCGATGTGGGGGTATACTCTTCTAGGATACAAAGAAGTCTCCAGAGTCGTATACTGCTAAGGAGGTGATATCCGTTGGGCCTAGGCGCTTGTGTGAGGACCTACCCTCATTTAGCATTGAGCGATAGAATTTCTGGCTGTCAAAGCTTATGGAACTGGCCGAACAGAAATCAACCAGCCGGTTAAAAGACGGGGGGGCTACTCATAAGGTTGTCCTGAGTGAATCCTCTCTATCGCGTGTTGACCAAGCTATTATTACTATGCGGAAGTGGCGCTCTAGCGCTGAGGCGGAAGGCCAATCGCCGGGTGATAAAGATAATAGTAGAACTGTGTAATTGGCTACGTTTATTGAATAGAATTCCAAGATTGAATGCAATTCTGGTGTACTAGTATATATATGTTTCAAATGTTGCGCTACATAGGTTTTCCCTTTATCGTACCAGTGCACTTAATGCTGGCCTTTCGATGAATCAATCTGCACAGCTTCTGTGACTTTTTGCTTTTAATATTTCAAAGTTTCTCTTATAAGTACAAAAATTAAGTATCAAAACTATCGCTGTCGGGATTGAAGGCGTAGCCGGTGGTTGTTCCCGAGATGCAAAGTTCTCGACTGATAGAAGATTGGTGCAGAGAAGCGGTATTCCGGGGGGAGATCAACTCCTAGAGATAAAGCTATCCACTTCGCACGTGCGTATCAATATAAAACTTGAACAGGCCTCTTTCTTCTTTAATGATGTCTATGACCGTGTCGATAGAAATGCTGTCCATAATGCTTCTTCCGCAATACGGACGCGGACTGCTCCACGTCACTTCCTTCATACGGTTCCTCCTCTTGGGCTCGGGTGGAGAATGTAGAAGATAAGACAGGCAGGTCGTTCTCGTCTAGCAGATTGAAGGCGACCGAATCCGTATCATCCCACTTCAGACCATCAGAGTCACTGCCTCCTTGGGCAAAGTGCTAGGTAAGTCCTTCTGGGTCATCCCGGCGCGTGAGAATTGTACGATCTTTCCAATTATGGGGGGATTCGAAGTTCTGCTAGTCATTAGCCAACCTGTCACATAAAAAAACTTATAAAAGAACAAGAACGAAAGTTATAAACATACCTTGCACCTGCCAGAAGCGAGGATGCATCTCCGGACGCCCTGTGTACGAGTCATCATCGCCATCTCCTCCATCTCGTTTCTTGAGGTCTGTGCCTAGCGAGTCGCCATATACCACGTTGCACATGATTAGCTGGATATAATCCACTCCCATGGCACTGCCTCTTAGCGCAGAGCTGGCGTCAAGATGACAGAGGGCGTTATAACTGGTCGCAGACAAGAAGTAGTTGCCGTTGCTACCAAACGTGTTGACGCCACCCGCGATGCGCGCTCGATAAAGGTTCTGGTTGCCCGCGAGGTAACCCCTATACGTTCCGAGAAAGGTGCCCATTGGATTCGAGGTTGAGTCAAAAAGATTTACCGTATATTGGCGCGGAAGCTGACCCGTCCAAGGATCAGTCCCCTATCGGATATTATTATTCGACTGAATGAAAAAGGAAAGGGATGGCAGTTAGCTCCAGCTCAGTAGCACGGGTACAGGAGGTAAAAAGTGTTAAGGAGAGCGAACCTTGTCCTGAAGTCGTAGAATCATTGCAGTGATGTAAGCCTGGTAATTCTGCTGTTCCCACAGTGTACAAGAGGTGCTCTGAAAGTCCATCGTCAGCCAGGGAAATGTGAAATAAGTTAATCTCGGGGAGTACTCACGGCACCAAGTCCACCTTCTGCGGCACTATCATTCATCTACTATTAATATAATGCCTTTACAATACCTTAAAGTGGGGAAGGGTATCTTAAAGGCACTTACGAGTTGACTATCATATTCACAAGTATTCGTCAGTAAAGGTTCAAAGGTGCTGGAAGGGAATCACTTATAAGGAAACTCATCGCAGGACATGGAATCACTCCACCCAGGCATTCCCATCGCGTTTGTTCTAGCTTGTTGAACGGCGAGAGGCCAGAGCGACTTTTTGATTTTAGCATAGTTGGCAGCCACGGTACCGGCTGTGCCTGATTCTCCACAAGCTAAGTCCCGGTTCGTGTTGTCAGGATCCGGCTTGTATATTAGACGCATCTAGGTATCACCTATGTAGCTCGGCGCCCACAGACTGGTATGTTTATTAAGATAGTTCTGGATATTGCTATAGATACCTGTTGCCGACTGTCAGCATAGGAATCATGGAAAGAGTCGCAGCGGAGGGGGGTTAGAGAATCTTACCTAATAACGTGTAGTATGGCATCTTTGCCGAAGTTGAAGTGTCTAGGTTTTAGATATTCTTATTGGGGAACTATTCACAGTTGTAGTACATGGCTGGGTAGTGTATGCATTGACCGGTGATCGCCTGTCGCTTGCTAACAGAACTACTCGCGTCAAGAATTGTGCAGGATGTGCCGTCACATACATAAGGATAGGTCATATTTCCAGACCTATTCGCCGTGACATCGTTAACGACGTTACAGGCGATGAGACCCCCAAAACAAGTCTCTCCAGTGCTATTTGCTACCAACGCTTTGACAGAATCTCTCTTGGCAAGGGGATCACTGCTTACATACTTAATGTAGGTTTTATCTATAAGAGGCAGAGGATCACTGGGAGAAATAATATCATACTTATTACCCTAATAGGCGGCGCCATCGATAAATCTGCGGAAAAAGATGAAAATTAGTCGGTTAGTCCAAATTCGATATAGGAAGAGTAGAGGGAAAGAGGATAAATATCACTCACGAGGCATTTGCCTGGATAAAGATGGAATAGACGAAGTCTGCCCAGTAACAGAATCCGGCACTAGTCGAACCATCACCCGAAACACTTGCAGTGGCATTTATACCCAGCTTGATGGTGTTAGCAATACCCGCCGTCACATATCCCGACATCAGGTCGCCCCCAAGAACGGAAATGCCGAATCGGACCTCAGGGGTAAGAGTCACTATAACGGAAATGTTTAGTCAATTCACTATTGCCAGTTTCCCAATAATCTGGGATATTTGACTTATATACCAAATTTCCCTATGCAGTGAGTGATGCGTCGAAAGTTGGCTCAAATGAGTACACTTAGTGATTGTCGCTGTGCAAGTCCGCAGGCGCAATGCTTGCTTTCTCACCTGCTACATCCTGAGGGAAATATACCTCGGTGCGGTCCCATTTGAGACTAACGCCTGCATTGAGCTTACCCGATACCTAGAGGGAGGCCGCTAACTGGCCTGTCAAAGCCAGCTCAGGACTAATGCTGATCAGACCCTTCACAGAGAGACCGGGGAATCCTGCACTAAAGAGTTCGACCACACCTATGTCGGACTGTATCACGGCCTCTGCTCTGAGAGTAATGAGAATCTGGAAGAATAGCGAAATGTTAGTATATCCAGAGATAAAGGAGCCTTGGGGATATACCGCGGCCATCGGTGCGATAGAGAAATAACCGTACGCCGAGATCAGCGTGGGTGTAGGTAGGATAGATCCCTCAAAGTAATAACCGTATTGGCCATCCAAAGCCAGTGAGATGTCGGCATCAATATCGAATATTGCATCTATATTAGTCTTGGGGCACTGAGCATGGGCGTGGAACAGCTTGATCTTTTCAATGTAATCCAGAGGGATGGAACTCTTCTCATCTTTCATAATCGTAGTTATTTTCTTGAGCCACTTATCGTAAGCTCCGAACCATCTTTTGCGCTTTTTGGAGCCGGGACTATTAGTGATCTCATTCTAATATTCCAGGAGATCAGTGTAGTTAACACGGAAGTTGACATCGCCCTTCTCCTCGGTCGCGGCACTAGCCAGATCATAATCCACAGTGAGCTCGTAAACTTCGCTGGTGGACCTAGCCTTAATATTCGACGATATACTCTGAGATCCGAAAGGAACTAGACTGATCACCCGGGCATATAGTCCAGCTCCTAAGTCCTTGGGCATTTTCACGATGGTATTTGAAGCACCGCCTTCAAACAAGGAATTGCAGTTTAATCCATTGACATAAAGATTAGTGCACTGGATGTGGTATATCTCGATCATATTGTCAAATATGTCATTAGTGTTCGCAAACATACTTAATCTCTTGTGGAATTTCAAATCTCGCTTGCGAAGCTCTTATTTATCAGTCAGGAAAGTCTATTGGTCAACTAAGGACTCGTCGTAGGCGCTCGTATCGCCGTCAATCATCATAAATGCGAACGGATCCTTGCTATCATCATTTGTTGCTAGTCAAATTGTTAGCAGCGTAGTCTTAAGTAGCGCATGAAGGCAAAAGGATGCTTAGTATTTAACTAACAATCTGAGTTGGATGTGGCTTCGACGCTATAGTAGTAGCTTATATTATCTTCGTCGGGGTAAGTGAATAGGTCTTCTGGATTAACAGGGAAATTGTTGGCCCCGTTGGGAGGATCACAACAAAGCTTATTCGTACCAGAAGAGCAGACGCTATCGTCGCCCTCCACGGTGATTGAATAGATTTCGGTTCGTTGCGTAATCAATGCTTTGTCGTTTGGACAGCTGTCATTGCAGCTATACTATTTGTAATTCTTGTACGTATCTGTTTTTCGAATTGCGGGTTAGGAGAGGTGCAAAGCGAGGGTAACCAGACCAGGAAGGGCACATACCTTCTGATAGACAGCAGAAATGGGACATTGTATTATAATTTTCCGTCTTCTGTACTAGGTCTAGTTTCTTCAGTCAGATTCTTCCAACGCAAGATAGGGCTTGAGGTGAACAAGGATAATCACTTACTAGTCCCCTCGACGGGTGTTTCCATGCTGAAAGTATACATACTCGATGAACACACGTTGCCGCATGTTGTCCAGCTGCATTTCTCTAAGGCGGAATCAGTGTTACAGCAGAGAGAACGTTTTCCACTGGTGCAGAAGTTAGAACCAGTGCGATCTGCGTAAGAATCCGCAACTAGCTCGTAAGTTCCCTTACCATAAGTGCCGCCGCCAGTGCACGATCTATCGTCACTGCCTCCTTCCTAGCGACAGCTCTCTGGCATAGCCTCCGTCGGGCAGCAGATTAAATGATACTGGGCGTCACTCGAATCATCGTCTCCCGTCTTACAGAGCTTCTTGTCTGGGTCTTCAATCATGCTGAGAGAAGCGGAATATACGTATTCGAGCACGCTATATCCCGACTTACACTGTCCTTTATTCACATCGACGCATCCCGAGACGTAGCAATCCGCCCCATTGTAGGCGGAATAGAGGGTGGCTAGGTCCTTCGCGGTTTCGTCACTCATAGAGCCGCCTGTAAGCAGATCCCCACTGGCGACCTTCTTATTCAGCAACCCGCTTAAAGCTTGCCAATCGTAGGTATCCTGGTCCAGAGACTAGATTATCACACCGCCTAAGCAAACTTTATTGGCGTAGGCGATCTTCTGCTAGAACGTAACATTGGTGTCGAAAGAAACCCACTGAGTGGCTGCGTCCCAAACTATATAGTTCACCGCGGTGGTGTCATCCAGAAAGACAATTATATCGTCAGTATTTATATACTCGGTAATCTCTGTAGTTGGTTATTTATTAGTATTATATTATTTGAAGCGGGAATAGTTTACCAGGAGGAACCATCTAGGACTGACCTTTGTAGGATAACACGCCCGCTATGGCAGTACAGGGACTAGCATTTCCGGCGACGGAGAATACACAGCCTGGATCAATACAGGACGGATCATCGACTGTAAAGGAACGACCATAAAATCCAGTGCCCAAGACGATTTTCGATGGCTCCACTCTAGCTCGCTACATTAGGTCGAGGGCCGATTTGATCTCAGTGAGATTCGTATGGGCCTGCATGATTTTCCCAATCCATCTAATCTATATCAGAATCGATCACGAGCAAATTTTTCATCAAGGTTATAAGTTAAACATACGGGTCAGTACCATCCCATACTCCATGCAAATCATAGGTTATTAAGTTAGTCTAATCGGCACCCGCAGACAGTAAGCCGGGAACGTCAAAAAACTACAGATACCAATAACTAGCCGGCGTGGTAAAAGTGATCCCGTAACTAGTTCCCAAAGCATCGAGTACCTCTGGGAGAGTCGAAACCAAGGAAACATAGTTTTTAGTATCGTCTGGGTTGCCGCCACGATCTGTTGCCACGGGGTATTCCCAGTCAAGATCCACACCGTCAAAGCCGTAGCTTTTTAGCGTGGATAAGACAGATTTCGACTAACTCTTGCGACCGCTTGCCGTGCTGGCTATGTCGGTCTAGTAGGACGCGGTGTCTCTATCATTGAATGACCAACCTCTAATCGATAGATAGATAGAGAGACCCGGGCTGTTTGACTTTAGGTCTACCAAGTCGTTGATAACCTTATCCTCGTTGGCAACACCGGTTATTGGACTAATAACCTAGTTATCCCCGTTGTGGTCGAAGGTTGCGAAAGCATAGTTAAGATAGGTGAGTCCATCGACAGCGAGGTCACTGGGACTCTATGAGTCGTAGGTCCGGTTATTCGCCCACCCTTCGTAGTAACCAATCACTCGCTTAAGGATATCATTAGAGGAGCAGGATGGGACCGTTGGAGGTCCGCAGTTATCACCCTAATATCCTAAATCTGTGCTGCAGAAATCGTCGCTAGTGCCGCAAAAGCCCTATTCCGAGCAACAAACATTGAGTGGGCAGCTAGCACCCGGGGTAGATGCGTCCTTTCCACACGCTGCGGTGGCATTACAGTTGCTGATACAAATATCCGCTTTGCAGAAGTCACCGTATCCACAAATCTAAGGCAAACACAAGTTTAGTGAGTTGATAAGAATGTGTGTGGGATTACGGCAGTCACGTACACCTTGTCCGTCACTCACGCCGCAGTATGTATCATTGTAGTAAGGATTGTCTGCATCACAATAATAGGTCGTCTGAGCATGTACAACAAAGACTAAAAGGCTGAAGAGGAGCAGCCACTGGGCGATTCGGGGGCTCTATGCCCCCGAAGAAGGTCGCTAAATCATGGCACAATAAAAGAAATAGAGTTAGAAAAAGAACATAGAAACAAATAAGAAATATCGAGAGACGAGGGAGTCTAAATGCCAGGTAAATAAGCGTGGGCGGGTAGACCTGGAAAAGAGAAGGAAAATATTCCAAGACTTCAATAACCCAAATTCACGAGCAGCGGACACTGTCACTACCGTGACTCTCCTTTATATAGTCTGGAAAAAATCCCGATTGAATTGATTGAGTTTTTTTCTTCTTATTTCCACCCTTTTAACTAGAGCTATGTCTGGATAGGCTAGCACCTCGCTTCTGTTTATGTATAGCCATATACTCCGAAGTGAAAAGCTAGTAGAGACCCGCACCGGTTCCGCCAACGGTTACAATAACAGCAAAATGTGAGACAACGAAGGCCTCCACTTCGATCTCTACTTACTACGCACTTGTTAAATTTGGCATAGGACGATTTATTGCCACATATGCATAACCAGTATTCTATACTAACATACTTTTAACAGATATATTTAGCCTTCCTATTTTCATGTTGCAGAGACTTGCGTCCGATATGAGAATACGGAACAAGCAACATTCAAGTATCGAAGGCTCCACGGTTCTTAACATAATTTAGCTACCGATACCGAGCATACCCGGGCGCCATATGTGAGGGAATTGATCGTGGAGATTACGGTATCATATTCGGACAAAAGTGGATCGCAGTGATTCTGTAGAACTTCAAGTTTCACGCCAATTTCCCAGATTTTTATGGACGCCAACGCTTATATAGAGGCTCATGAGATTATTTCTCTCCAAGAAAACCCTGCTATCTATGTGGTATTTTGCAATTATTAGACCCTGACTACTCCGTACTCGTAAAGCACTAAGAGTAGCGAAGCACGCTATGTGGGGATTATTGTGGGTACATTCGCTGAACCCTATATCGCGAATCTTGGCAGTTACTAGCTAGCAACTAGGTCCACGCCAATTCCTATTTAGCGCCCACAGATTCTTTGCTATACAGATCATGACCGTATTATCAGTAATTGAGCTTAACGTTTCTGAATGCCGGGATTCCCGGAAGGCTGTGTAAGCGAGCTTATATACTGAATCCGACAAATCTTGTAGGCTAGTAGCAGACGCATAGGGCCATTGTATCCGAGGTTTTTCACTCTGGCGTCCTGAATAATATAAGTCAGACTTAGCTTTTGAACGCTAGTCCGATGTGGCATAGTGCATAATTTCCTGCGACCCAGACTGTCGTGGGCGGGTTCGGACTCGGCGATACGGCTGCATGAGATAAGGGCTCCACATAGGGATCGCTAAATACAGCCAGGAAAGAAAAGGAAATTAAAAAAACGGAAAAGTGAAAGTGTAAGAAAGAGAAAAAGAAAAAGAGAAAGACAAAAAAAGGGAAAAGGGAAAAGGCGGAAGAACCAAATAAGAGGAAAACTACTTATTGCTTGCTTTGCATGAACTGCGATGCTAATAGGAAATGCGACTTTAACCCATCAGAATAGCGACCTACCTCACTGTAAATCGACAAGTGGTTGGTTTGCTCTTGTGGCTTACCTCTTTCTCTCTTGTCCATGCATTTTCGAATGAAACGCTATTTGTCTATATATCAGCAAGTCTCAATTCTTCACTTTTTTCTACTATCTGTCTTTCAGCATTGAACGTCAGCGTATTATGTTACTCGAATCTAGGAGCCGCGGTGTTTCAGACCACCATATGGTCATCCGATGCTCTGGATCTAATTTGCACGGATACTTGTCGGACAGCCTTGGACGATTATGTTTCTGCTGTGGACACTGCGTGTGGGACAGACACCCTGTATAATATCTCGGGGTGATGCAGATAGCCAGTGATACTGGGAGTGAGATGCTATGGAAGCAGTCTGCGACCTGTCTTACCGATTCATCATCCGGTGAATACTGTAGCCGTGTTCTTCAAGAAGCTAGTAGCAATAGGGTAAATGTCACCTGTAATGATTGCGCTCTGGACTACTTAGCTACTCTTATTAATGCTCTATAGGGTCAATAACTTCTCGACCCTGCCTCCGTGAGCAGTCGTATCTCTCGCTGTTCGGCGAGTGGTTCCTATAGCGTGACGTATACTGCGAGCTCAACGCCCTCAGCCACGACAACCGCTGTTGCGACTGCTGGCGATAACGTGCGGTGCAATATCACGGATCTCAGTTCGAATCTCTATGTTGTTCCCTCAACCGATATAACATACTTAGATATTTTGACCCTCGCCAACGTATCTACCCGACGTCTGCGAAATCTATATAGTCTCCTCTAACGATACCTACGCGTCTATTCTCGGGAATCTGCGATACCAGATCTCGACCCCGACCTTTCGGTCATAGAATCCCACCATCAATTCCGCCTGCTCAAATCTGCAGGCTTTGGAGGGAGAATATATCTGTATAAGGTAAGAGTCTTCAATTTTTCTCGGACGGTTTGACTGTTCCACTAACTGTCCCTAGCCCTCCTAGCACTACAGCTATCCCCAACAGCTTTGCTCTGAAAGCCGCCACAACTGCTGTGTGAGTTAAGTATCCGGAATACATATCTTAATATCAATTAACCAAATTTAGACCTGTTCCGGCCAACGCCGTTACAACCTCTAATACTAACTGTGGATATTAGTACATAATCCAAGATAATGATAGTTGTGTCACTGTTGCGTCTATGTTTTCTATCGCGGAAAGTGACTTCTATTTTCTGAATCCTTAACTCAACAATACTTGTGACTCCCTATGGTTGGGAAACAGCTACGTAAGAATATATCTAAAAGGCTCTATTAACATTATTAACTGATTCTTTGGTCCAGTGCGTGTAAGCAGTCGGAAGCATTCAGATATACTCCGGGTATAACTCGACCACTATTAATTCGCTATTAGCTTTGACCTCCACGATCAACGTCAATGCCACCGTGACAGCGAATCGCACCACGACGTAAGTCAATTCCAAGGAGAATAAGATACACATAATAGTGAAAGGATAATTAACTAGAGTTCGGGATATATTACAGTTGGCTTCTTCCCACTGGGCTGTCGATCTCGACCATTACCGGGATATATAACGCTACTGCATATTTAATGACCGAGGGCTACACGCTCTGCCAAAACGCGATTTCTTACTATAGTCTCGATATGGATAACATCGTCCTTAGTGATCTTATGACTAACACCGCCTGGTATAGTGAATGGGACCGTGTCTGTGATCTGGACTTGAGCCAGCCTACTCCCACCATCCCCTTTAATACGAGCATTCCCTTAGTCACTGCTAGTGAGACGGGTACGACTTCGGGTAGCGCTGCTGCAGGATCTACCTCTACTATTGTCTCGACCTCCAATACAGGATCCTCGACCAGCAAGACCGCCACGTCCACGACCTCGAATTCTGTAGCTACATCCACGGCCACCGGTTTGGTCCTTTCCCCAGACGGCACATGTGGCGGCACTACGGGATATACGTGTGAGCAGTCTGGCTTTGGTGATTGTTGCAGCATTTATGGCGACTGGTATGTCCGACAGAATTATGGAGACCCTAGTTGAATCTTTTTCTAACCTAAACTCACTTTTACTAGTAGTTCCACCAGCGATTATTATGCTGCGTCAAGCTGCGATGACTCCGCGGGAGTTTGTGCAGGTGGTGTCTCCCCCTAATGGTCTCTGCGGAGCAAGCAATAACGACTGGATATGTTTTAATTCCGGCTTTGGAGACTGTTGTGATGCTTATAGTTACTGGTAAGAACGCATACACACACACAAATTCACGTTAACGAACTTTCTCGCCTTCTGATCTAACTTAACTCCGATTTTTAGTGGATCGACCGATGATTATTGTGGAGCCTCCTGTGACTCTAACTATGGACCTTGCTCCGGAAATATTTCGACAAACGGTCTCTGCGGCGCTAATAATAGGGATTATACATATTTTGGGTCCACGTTCGGGTCCTATTATAGTATCTATAGATATTGGTAAGTGAATGATCTGGCCCGGAGTCTATGACTAAGGAGATACTAACCGAGATAACAGTGGATCCACCGACGAATACTGTGTATCGGCTATCTGTGATAGTTCTTATGGCGGGTATAATTGAGGGTAAAGCAGAGAGACCCACTAAGTTAAGGCCCTGAAGCCCTCTAAGGCTGTGACTGCTGTGAGGTGGAGAGAAGACCCATAAAAATACTCAAAATTACCAGGGTCTTGTAATGCCCTATAATACTAGTTCCTGTGCTCAGTCCGCATGTTTTACCTCTAGGGCTTACATATAGATTCGGTTTGGATTTTCTTATAACTTATCTACTCCTCTATTTTCTCGCTTTTCATTTCGATTTTTCACATATACAAATTAAATCTCAAAAATGTCGCACTCAACATCACAAGGCTGGCCGGCCATTCCCGAGATCCACTTGCATCCGACGGATTTACCCCGAGATGAACTGCCGGAAGAAACAAAGGGATGGCTTCTTTTCGTACGGGTAGGGCAGTCCGCGGAAATGCGCTCGCATAATCAATTAATTATTTGTGGTATTAACGGTTAGAAACTTGTAGGAAGAATCCGAATCCCAGCCAGTCTCGACCCCGGAAGACGGGCTGCGACAACGGCGCGCCCTTATTGAGAAATGGGCTACTGCCAGTCAAGAATTCCGCGAGGTCCGTACAGCCAAGCCAATTTTTAAATTTTCCACTCCTCTTCACCTTTTTCTTTCTTCTCTTGCGCTTCTGTAACTCGAAATTGAATATTGAAAATTTTAATCCGCGCAGTCTTACCATGGCCGTGCCCCAGCATACACCTCAGCCCGCGACTACCCGGCCTCATTACTCTCACAGCAAGCCCCGCGGCCCAGCAAGCGGTTCCTGTGTCTGGCACCCGTAGACCGCGAGACTCATCCCCGGGACTACATCCACCTTGTGAAGTTTCTGATTCTGCTGTACGTTCATCAAGGGGAATGGAATGGGCCGCATCCCTTTGACCTGTCAGGCGTGGGCAACGCGCCGCAATGCCACATTCCAGAGTTTGTTAGCCGCGCCACACCTATCGCGCTCGACGAGATCCTCTCCGAGCTGTACCTCTTCTCGGCGGATTTCCACGCTCTCTCGATGACCCGGGCCGGCACGGTTGTGTTCGCCGATGGGCCGTACTACACGTGGTACGTGATCGATGAGCCAGGGCTTCTCACGGGGCGGTTAACGCTGGCTGAGTTTGGTTCCAATGGCAGCGTCCGCGCCTCGACTCTCCGTCGACCCTGGAATATGGGCCAGACGATGTCCTTTAGTCAGATTATGGGCCGACGAGTCTTGGAATTATTAATGTCCGGTATCGGGGGCCCGCCGCAGTATAATGAACCGTACGTTTATTTCTTGCCTACAACTCTGTCCCCGTTTTCAGTCTTCTAACGTGAATCGCTTATTTGTGGGAATAGCTTGGATATGGACCTTCCTATAATTGAGCTTTTGGAAGTTACACGACAGACCAATAAGTTCCTCTTCGAGGGCTACGGCAGTCGGGATCTGTGGGTGAGCACTATCGAGCAGAGTGCGCCCGGGTATCTGAGCTTAGAGGCCCAAGGACGGGAGCTGGAATTCAACCTTGATCAGTTGCTTGATATTAGTTAGTTATTGATGCTCACTTTGAACATTTGAATCCGCAAAAAAACTCGCTTGTGGTTGGTGTGGTTCTCTATGACAGTTGGTTCTGACGGCTCTCTATCCGGCTATACTATTAATATTCCAAGATGCGACCTATACTACCAGAGTCACAACATGAAATCTTAAGTTCGTAATGGGATTATCAATACGAGACATATATATAATGTTTGAGAGAAACAGGGAAGCCCGCGTCCAAATATTCAAATGGCCAACTGGCAATCAAATTGATCTTGTGGGTTACCCGGGTAGCAACCCCTTAAGTGGAACGTCCCGCTTCAAAATAAGTGTTTAAATGCTCTTTCTTAGTGGTACGTTTCAAAGCCTATGGATGTTAGGTATTCGAATCTTCGTAACGCGTAATGGCAAGACAATCTTACTAGGATACTAATTGGCTAAGCAAAGCCAAGGAAAATTAAGCAAAATTAAGCTACAGTAAGCGCTTGGCAGATATGGATGGTCGATTATTAGATGTCTCAGAGCAGACTATATAGATCGAGAATTTCACGTGAAAGAGCGGGTAACTTTTCCAGCCTAGAATATTGAAAACAAAGGAAAATAAAGCTAAGCTGCCAATTCAGTGATTTGCTAAGTATTATAGCATAAACAAGCTATTAAATTCATCGCGATAGCGGGGGATATTAACTAGTATGTAATATGTAGGGACTAGACGCGTCGGGGCACCTAATATTTTACAGATTTGGATCTTTGGGCAACGGATGTGTTCGCTACTAGTGTTCTACAGGCTTTCTCAAGTGTCTTTCTAGCCTTTCTCTACGTCTTTCTAACCGTCTTTCCTCTTAAATCTATATATCCTTAAGCTAAGGTAGTAATCTTAAAAGCTATTATTTCAATTCGAGTCCACACCTACATAATTAAATATATCTAATATTATAATGGGAACGACGAATTACTTTAGCTGTGCGAGCGCAAAGAGGGGTTTCATACGGTTAGTCGGAAAATTGAAGGGTCCCCAAGCATTTTCAAGTGTCTATCGGGCCTTTCTCAATATTAAACACTTATAATATCTTGAACGCTTGACAATAAAGCAGATATTAAATTAATTTAAGTGAATAATATAATCAACCGGATTACCCAAGAATAACTGTCTTCAGTACTGGGTCGGCCATCATCCAAGCTATTTTCTTCACCCTTCCCAACCCTAGCCTGGTCGAGACTCCCATTTCACTATCATATTCCATAAGCATAATTGAATAATTTGGGAATTCTCCAATGGCATACTTTACTTTATCCAGCCTAAAGTACTGTACCTCTGAAAGGAGAATAAATTAATATTATCCTTTATAAATCCATTCCGGCCCTTCGCCATCAAGAATAATAACACCGATCTATTGCATCTCGGAATTAATAATAGAAAATCGCATTAGTCGGCGCCCAGCTGGCAATACTACGTTTGAATTCAGTCTCTCCAAGTCATTCTTCTGATTAATGTGATCTCTAAGTTAAAATGTCTTAACACAGCTCGTATCAACAACAAGATATAGCACGTCGTTCTTCGATAAATATTGCAGTTATGTGGGCTTCAGATTAGAGAGACAGAGTGGTCGATTCAATCTTATGAAGTCATCCCGATTTTCCGTAAAGTAATAGACTGACTCCTATTCCGGAGGAGCGTCACCTAAAAGCGGTATTCCCCAGCCGTAGCTATTCAAAGGGTCTAGTTGTGAGCGAGACCCACTATAAACGTGCCAGCGAAGTAATAACTGGATACCCTCCTCACCGAACTCTGCTTTCTTGGCGGACTTTATATCACCTATATCGTCTCTTTTAACGTTCATTGGCTTATTATATATGACTTAGCCCTCTTAGCCAGCCCAGGACCATAAGGGGAACCCGTCACGTCTCTTCAGCCGCTATGTAGGTCTCCATATAAGAGCAACATTAAGTATGCAGTTCGGGAGCCTAGCGGTGAATTCCGATTTAAAGCTCAACTAAAACATATAGAGCAGACCATCAAGTGCTCTAAGGACATCCGATTTGAATATACTATGGCGTGAGGTATAACTTTCGATGGCTTTCGCATACGCGGCAAACGTTCCAGATCGAACGACACGTGTCCTACTATGTCGATCCACTTCCAGACTTCCGTCTATCCAATTTTTATTAATATCGACGCCGAAATACTGAGGCTTTAGCGAAAGCGATTCGAGGGGCTCGGTTATATATCCAGAATCCTCGATTCGCATATCCTCTCTGCATATCATTCCTCGAAAGTACTAAAGACCACTTTTGTCCTTAACGCTTAGCGAAGCCCTTCGCCTTATCCGCCAACCTTACATAGGGATCTCCTTGAATCATAAGACTGAGTATCTGGACTCAGCAACTATAATGCCAAAGTCGATCTGGTCGGTACATAAAAAAAATCAATATGGATATCCCCCATAGGCTGGACACCATGATTTCCAATGTCGGAAGGAAGAGGGAACTCGCAGCATACTGTGCACGCGGAATCGTGCTTAATCATTCTAGCTTGAAGCTGAAGGAGTATTTATTAACACAATCGCCGCCAATATGCACAACTCAGCTATACTAAGATCCATGATGTTTTGTGGACAATCCTCGCTCATTCCAAAATTTTTGCATTCCATTCTGTCGATCGGGGCTGATAATAATGATCTTTCCTTCTGTGATATAGGCGAGGATTCCACCGCAGCAAATAATCGAGACCTAGCCTCACATACCCCCATCGTGCAGACACGATTCTCTGCAAGAAACGGGGCTGCTGTTTTTTTATCCCTATTTTCGGCTGCAAACATCAGGACAGCCGATAAGCTGCCAGAAATATATTTATATAAGATTATATCAGGCCCAGTGGATAGCTTGAATTTTCAAACGAGCTTCAAGCAGTAGCAGCTTATCACAGGGCGTAGAGTGATACCCTTATTCTCTCTCCTATACCTGCACACCTTAGCGAAACCAAAGTTAGGGGCGAGATAATTCATTTGAAGGAGGGAAGCATATCTTAATATAAAGAAAACTTATTTTCTCTGAAATGCCAGGGTCCCCTGTAAGTTTCTAATTAAATCAGATGTTATATGCTTACTTCGTAAACTTATACCCTTTCTCTTAGCCTAGATACTGAGATATCGAAACCTTAAGAGGGGTTTAAAATGTTTAACGAATTCTTGGTTATGATGAATCACAAAACAGACATAAACTGAATATCTTCTTGGTTGAGGAGAAACATAACTGGAAGGCTATTCCGAGTATGACGCAAACTCTTATGCTTTAGTCTCGTGTATTTTTTTTGGAAACTCTAGGCTATTTGGGAGGATAAGTTATGATTTAGCAGTAACTCAGATGTTATAATTTAGTATTGAACAGTCCGGGCGTGTCCCCTAGGGATCTGTAAGCCACTCTGTTGCTGGCTCGATTATATAGATCTACGGTCATGATTGGATTAAGTGTCCTACCATTCTCAAACTTTAAGCGATCATAAAGACCCCTACTACCTCAGGCCCAAACGTATAAATAGTGCAGCCCTTCCTGGCACGTATTATCCCTCGATTGACATGATATCTCTACTCTTATTTTTCTCTTATTATGGATAAGAGCAAGACTGAGAAGAGCTTTGCAGGCGACCTCCGTACTTCATTATAAGCAATAACTTTAGGACTCTCAAGATAAGAGCAGGCAAGTTGCAACGGGCATAGAAGTCTTCACCCAACTTCTTCTAGCTAACCGCTAGCTATTCTTTTTTATAGGCTGATACCTCAGCTCACGCTTCTCCTCTCAACAAAGAGAGAACCTAAGAAGGTAGGGCCAGAAGTTCCAATGCTGTTTCTCTAGCGGTAGAGAGTTAATATAACTAAAGGATCAGCACACGGAGTCTTCGGGACTAAAATTGACGAGAGTTCATATGTCTTTAACGGAAACAGCGGGAGTGGGCAGAGTCGTAATAGACGTCGGGTCTATTTGATTAGTGGTGGCTCTGTGAGGAACAATAGTGTTCTGTTCAATAGTGACCTGGATAGAGAAAGCTTCTTGAAAAGATACGGTCAAGGCCGCTAGAACCATTGCACTCCTTAGCTGACAAAGCTTCCTCCTCTCACCCTCGAGTTATATATACATATATTGTGTAGGCCTCGAACTGGAGAATATTAGAATACTGCCGTACGAAAACTGTGAGAGCAGGCCTTCTCGCAGCAAATCCGAGCCAGATTCAATACTATTATGGCTTCGACGATCTCGGAGGTGAGTGAAGATACAAAGCTTTTTGGATATATAAAGCTAGGGTGGATAGTGCTATTAAACTCTTTAGTAGACAGAGCCTTGCCCTTCCAACACGTTTATGAGGGCCATACCTAATTTGCAATAATCTTCTAAGTTAAAAGTACCCGGGTTGCAAAAAAATATGAGCCTAGGGCGTCTGACCCTATCCCTCAGCATAAGAACGGTTAGCGTATCTCCCTACGGTGCTCAAAATTACGCTAACCCCTAACAGGAAATTGTTGAAAACAAACGTTATTAGTAGCGATTCTATATCTGACGCGCTATATATTAAGGCAGAAGTTACAAACATATAAATGAAGAAAAAGAAATCAGGATTTGAAATACTTTATGAATCCTCGCTTTGCGAAATCTGGCGACTAATAAAGGAGATATTGCTCCTTTTAGGGAGCAGCATGAACGAGCTCTTCGAACGGTCTAATTACTCGAAGAGTAATAACTAATACTTTCTACTCGAGTTATGACTCTCCCATTCTCCGGGTGCGAATAAGCTCCCACCGAAGATGAACATTAGAGTCGCCCTTAGGTGCTAACACCCTCATGAAGTTGAGCAACCCTATCGTCATAGAGTAGTCTAGCCAAAGGTTCTCTTTTCGGCCTAGGTATACCGTGAAGAGTATTATAATCCGAACAATACCTAATCACTCCTGTAAAACGCCCGAGGATATCCCCTTCCTGGACCGAAACAATCAGATAGACCGTGAGAAAAATATTATCTCTAGGCTAGAAAGTGACCATAAGTGACTTATCTCGCATAGCTTCTGCATCTAGCTGCAAGTCAAGAAACCCGCCGAATATTTTAGCTGATAATAGTTCATATGTTCCGCTTAGGTCAAAAATAATCTCTTCTTCCGTTGAAATCTACGGATTGGTGGCACTGCTCCATAAATCTTCGGGGACAGTAAGTCTTTCTGCTATAAGCGGTTAGCTTAGCCATAATCTTCCTGTTAGGTCACCTTTGCTCTCCCCAGCCACCCGCTCCTCCAATTGCTTAATATAGCAGCCATACTTTTCTTCCCAGAGACGGACAATCTCGACTAAATCAGGTCCACCTTCTGAAGAAAAGCTTTTGCAGAAGCGGTCAAATTCCTTCGTGCGATATAAGAGAACCTTATCCACGCCCGCATTCCGCATTTCGAACAGCCTCTTCCAGAAAAGACGACACTGGCGTTGATTAGCTGCGCTAAGTCTATAACCCGCTTCCATTATGAAACGCCGAGTGGCAAATTTCTTAGCCATTGTGAATTCATCGAGTGGGCCTTTAGAGGTTGGCAGTTCCTTTGGATCAGTCCTAAATGATCTGTGCTCTCCGAAGATCGCGGCCCGTCATTTTGCTAATTCGCCAAGCCATTGCGCGCACACACACCAAGAACGCACCTCACTGATCTCTTTGACCGAGTCTAAGGCAGCTAATAAGTCAAGGCTTTTGGCCGTTAATCAACACCCCACAGCTACTGGTCGTGGATATTTGGAGGAACCTAATGATTAGCAGCACACTACATTTTTGTGAGGGCATCTTGTCCTAAATAAATATACGATGTACGCGATATGAGGGCCATTTTACGACTCTAATTAAACGTATTTTGAAATTGCTGGGGTCTCTAAATTGACTCTCATAAAGATATAGTCAGCGGTAAGAAATGGTGTTCTTACTTCATATTCCCATCGCCTCAAATTGTTCAATAAGATCGGGAGTTGCCATATCCTCGGGGGGAAGCCGCGAAGGACTTAAAATAGAACGATAACGCGGGCTTCGATCTGTAGTACATCGATTCTTAGTGTTCGTTTCCCGCGAACGACTGGCCCCCATACCAAACAAGAAGCTACTAGGAGAGGTGAGCTTACCTACCATAATGTCATCAACGGTTTGACTTCTTCTGATAGCACGTAGGGGTATATAATGTGCACTAAGAAACTCCCTAGTCACACTCGCTTTGGCTACTTCAGGGATCGACAACGAAAGTGCATCAACGATATCCTTGGCACGAAAGATAAAAAAGCCATTAAGGGCCTCCGTACTAATTTGGAGAAAAAGTGCAATTTTCACTTCGGTGACAGATATATCTGTCTAGCATCCAATTTTCAGCATGTCGTCTTTGAGAAAAAAGCGAGACGAATATGCTCTGATAGTCGGTGTCCCAGCTCAGGTGCCGCTCTACAGCATCTCCAAACTCCTGGAGGGTATCGTTTCCCTCATCATCATCATCATCATCATCATCATCATCATCATCATCATCATCATCATCATCATCATCATCATCATCATCATCATACAACGTAACTGTATCAGCTGCCTCGAGCCCCTCATATGTATCATAAGCCGTGGCACATTCCCCATATTAGACTCTATATAGATGACCAGGGACGTCGGCTGGTGAGAGACAAAATCTATTCATTTCTAAATTCCATTAGATGAGAGACATTCTTCATAACGATTAGTGATAGAATAGAGCGCTTACTAATCAAGAATACTGTGCTCTATAGCAAGAGTCGTAGAATAAGAAGGCTTCCGTAAAATAGCGCCTTAATCTGTGATAGATAATTTATAGCACTTACTCAAGCTAAGAACTTCCTTAGTATAATTGCATTGCCATCTTTCATCAGGTCTGAGGGTACCTAAGCCATATGCATTACAGCCTAACCCCGCTTCTGATTCCAAAGCATCACGCACGATAGCAAGACCAATAAAAAAACACGATCAAAGATCGTGGCAAGAACATACGTCCAACCAGCGTGGGTGATCAACGATTGAGTCGCTAACAAAACTCAAGTACGTTAATAGATATCGTCACTAGCGGCGACACTACAGTCAGAACTTGGCTCATTCAAATATGAGATTTTTTAGGTTTCCTAATAACGGAGAAAGGGTAGACCAATCGATTTAGAAGGGTGTCAGATACAAACAGCGCAGAAATGTTCGCTCTGTACTACTGAGGTTTAGTGTATCTCACTACTTTTTCCACAGTAGCGCTAATCCCAATAAGGAACATATAATTGTTCACATAGACCCTCCTCTACGTTTAAGCAGGAGTTATGCCAAAAGGTATTGACCTTGCATAAAAGCGGCTTAAATGAGAGATCGGAATATTCCTATTATCTTCAGAGTGTATTCCGTGATTTTAGGAATCGGCCGAGGCCCACTCAACGATTCAGCAGCGGTAGAGGCTGCTCCGGCACAGTACTCGATTTCTTAAATGTGGAGCCAGTGTGCTATTCCATACATAGGTTATTATTATCAGAGGGTGATTATACCAATGTATTTTAGATGCCTAAATATCGACTTTCTTATAAAAAAGATGTCTGCAGCCGATGAACTGATCTGCCAAATTGCATTATCTTGTTACCAAGAAAGAGTCTCGCATAGTGGGGCGTGTGTTCTAGGCCTTTTCCAGAAGATACTCTAGTAGTTTATTGGCATAGCTGTTGGACAGATGGAGGCTTAAGATATATGCCTGTAGTGTCTTGGTAGAAAGCAGGCGCAATAGCTCCCACTGGTGCTTGCTTGCAAAGGGATTGACACGAGAATGGTCGATTAGGATAGCCAGGTCGGACCGGGAGAGCCTTTTATTCCGATATGAAGGGATCACTACCGCAAGTGAACCATCAAATTCAAAGTCTTGCAGACGAATAGATTGTTCCCGTGTCGACTCCGGGCTTGTTAAAGAAATGGAGTAGTTCCCCGTGTAAGCATACTCACAGCACCAAGCAAAGATGTCCGTATCAATGTGTTCTAAAACGAGACACGTTTCGTTTTGTGATTTCGAGATAGTGTCCAGTATCAATTCTAACACAGCTGGAAAGCGCTCTAGAATTGCTGAGTGCACCTATAGTCGGGTATGCTCCTTTCCCACCTCAACCAGCAAGAGTCTCAATTGGAACATTCTGGATTCATTAGCTATGTCGGTTACCATGAAGTCGTCCTGCTATCTTAAGACTTACTGGAGATTGGTGTCTGTTATATTACAGGTACAGGCACTTGTTCTTCAATATAGATGCAAGGTTACACGAGTCTGGAAAGTTGATTATTATTGTTTTCGCGTGACTAGCTGATTACGTACCACGGTACCAGGATCTACCATTGTTCATGCTAGGCTTTAAGAAATCGCTAAGCACGATTTTCGAAACATACAGAACTTGTTCGGATGGTTAAAATTGCGGTAGGAATATAGATGGGAAAATATCATTCTTCATAGGAGAGGTCTACTCAACTTAATCTCTACTTGCCGAGTATCATCACACCTTTCGTCCCAACGGCATTAGATTATATAGGCGATATCCCTATATGCTCCTACATGTACATAAATACAGCTGCTACCTTTTGGAGCTTTCTTTCAATTGTTTGGCTCCGAAAGGAACTGAATATCTAATTATGTCGAAAGTGAAAGTGTACTGTACTGTACCCAGATATTAAGATTATCGAAACGCATATGGGGATCGGATGCAAACAGTGCAAATGGTAATTTCGCTTTATCTTCCATCTTCTATCAAGGCCTAGTGCTTCTCAGAATTTTTCTAAGAGTAGCGCTAACCCCAGTTAGGAAGATTACAATTGTAAGCCGTCCAAGGCATTCATTTCTACTTACAGATAGTCGCCTGACTGACATAAGCATCTTGCAGGCCAATACACCCTTGCATGACATATTGATGTGTATTTCCTCACCACTGTAGCGTGCGAAATTGAGTTTGCAGCGCACATTGCTGAGCCAGACCTTCTTAGCCAGTTCCCGTCTGTCTGGTAGCATCATACAAAGGACATCTATAAGGCTTCCTATATACCTAATCTCTCTGAACTTAACTATCTAAATCTAATTAAGAAAGATCGTAGCAAAAAATATCTAGATATATCCTTAAATATCCTAGGCGATTCCCTCCTTTATTACCTAATTTCGCTTAGAAAGACTCGTTTATCTCCGACCGTAACCGCTCTACTTAATAATAATATATTATATATATTTATATCTCTAAATATTACGAACCGCTTAAAAGAAAGCCTACCGCCACTAACCTCTATAAACCCTATTATAGTTAAGCTCCTAAATAAGGAAGAGCTCTATATATAGGTGAAACTAAAGGTTCTGGTTATAATTAGATCCTAGCGAGAAATCTTAGAAATATAGATTTTAGACTTCCCGGATTTTAACTTTATTCTTAGAAGAGACTTCTTATAAAATATTAATTCTATTATTAACTAGATTAAGGGAACTATAACTATATAGGATTATAAGCGAATATATATTACCTAATTCGCGAATACCCTTAGTCTAAAAGGAACTATTAGCGCCTAATTAAATCTGATTTCCGCTTAATAATACTTATATATAATACGGAAATAGTAATTATAAAGAATATTCGTAGTTATTCGGGATCCGCCTAAAAGAGAGAAAAAGGAAATATTAGGGGCACTAAGGTATTCCGACCTATATATATAGGAAATCCTATCGAGATATAATAAGATATTCTACGCGGAACTACCTAAATCCCTCCCTCCGGAATATCTAGTTATATACGAAATTAATACTAAAGATGCCTATTTAGTAAATATTAATACTTATTCCTTATTATCTAAGAAATTAAACGAACAGACCTAATAGGTCTAAAATTTAATTAATTAAGGACTTATTTGCCTATTAAGTAATCCTTAGGGGTTCCTAGTAATATTTTTAAAGAAATATAACGGTTTATAGCGTGTATATTAACTACTAAGCCCTAAATAGACTTTTAGTAAAGAATAGTTATCTATTACTACGAATCTAGGAGCTTTTAGATATAGTAAGAACTATAAAGGTAGTATTAAAAATTAATCTTATATCTAGATATTAGTAAATCCGTATAGTAGAGAATTTAATCCAGAAAACCGCGTTTAATATTACCTAAGGCAAATATAAATAGCTTATAATACTATTTAGACTATATAATATACTCGCGATCTTTTAATCGACTATAAATAATACCCTCTGTCCACTTTTAGGTAAGTATATAGTTATATATCTTAATAATATCCTAATATTTTCCTATAGCTTAGAACACTATAATTATATTAATTAAGTATTATTATTACTAAAAGCGTAGGAGCTATACGCTTAACCCTAAAAGTGTTAGTTCGCGACCTAAGAACTTAAGTTTTATAGATATATTATTAGAAATAGGTAACTTCGCCCTATACCAAAAAAGATCGCGACTATACGCGAATAGCCACGACTATATAATATCTACGAAGTTCGCTAGTTTCTAGGTCTAGCCACCTATTACCGACGCTTTATTAAAGGCTTTACCTTAATATATATATTACTCTATAGACTATTAAAGGAATTAGATATATCTATCTAAAAAGATAAATAGACCTATTTAATAGATAATTATTGGAATATAGACCAATGCTACATAGAAAGATCTATCCTTATATTCAACATATAAGACCAAATTGTATTGATCACGTGACCAGATTTTTTTCTTCTATCAAAATGATATTTTGACCACTTCTGATTCTGGTCCGCGGCCCTCTCCCGAATGATAGGCAGGACCATTTTCCTTCAGAGGTAAATGGTCCGCCTTTAGACATGAATGGTCCGTTCCTTCGGAGGTGCCTTCGGGCATATCTTGCCCGCGGACTTCGACCATGGTCTTCGAACCTCGGTGAACAGACTTCGACCCTCAGTCCCCTCAAGGATAGGCGGACCACTTTCCCTTAGGGATAAAATGGTCCACCTTTGGGTATGCATAACCAGATACTGCGGGGAAGCTTTCGGGGTGGCTGAAACCGTCGATCCTTGACATCATTCTTTTGGCTTTTCTTCGGTTCCCTTCTTTGCCACCTTTATTATGTTGCTGTCTAGTATTTGTATGTTATTCTAGACGTTATTTCTAGGCTATTTTAGCCTATAAATATGTCCTTCTTTTTCTAGCAGAAAGAATTAAGTCAGTTCTACTTTCCAAAAGTCATCTCTACCTTCTTCCTTTGATCCTCAGGACTGTGGTTCTGTCTTCGTTTAGGCTATATCTGCTTAAAGTCTATCCTACGACCTTTGACCTTCTTCCTTTGTCTGGCACCGACTGACCCAGCCGGACTAAGGTTAATCCCACGGACTTAAGGGGCCACGATCTGCTTCGTGGTAGCTTTCCCCTTATGCTCCAACAATTATTTATTCGATAATAGAGCTAATAAATAAATTTATTATTAACGTAATTCACCACCGAGTGGGCCACACCACCGAGTGGGCCACCCAACCACTTTTTCGCGTCCTACCGCGTCAATCTGTCTTCTATCAACCACTATGCGTCCAAATCGTGTCGGATCAAGCCAGGATTCTATCCAACAAGAAGGCCGCCTCCTGCTTGCCATACAAGCCATCAAAAG